GCCAAACAAGATGGCGGCCGGAGCAGTTGCTACGGTGACAGTAAACAAGATGGCGCCGGCGGCGGCTAGTTGCTATGGAGACAGCAAAGATGGCGGGCTCCCCCCACCATCCCCACAGGCTGATTCACCTCCACAGAGCCCTTGTCCCCGCCTCGCTGAGCTTCTGCCCTCCCTTTGGCTCAGGATTTTGCTTAATGTCACCAAAAAGGGACCAGATTCACATGCCAACAGGCTGCTCTCTGCTGTAAACCAAAGCAAGCGGCGGCTAGTTGCTATGGAGACAGCAAAGATGGCGGGCTCCCCCCACCATCCCCACAGGCTGATTCACCTCCACAGAGCCCTTGTCCCCGCCTCGCTGAGCTTCTGCCCTCCCTTTGGCTCAGGATTTTGCTTAATGTCACCAAAAAGGGACCAGATTCACATGCCAACAGGCTGCTCTCTGCTGTAAACCAAAGCAACTGCTGATGCACAAGTCTGCGCTGCCAGGCCCTGACTTTCCCACCTTCCCAGTTGCTCCTTCAGCAAGATTTCCTCCTGCCGGCCTTCTGCAGAAGTTTCAGAGGACCCTGTTCCTCTTACCTCTCCTCACCCTGTCTGCATAACACTGTCTATAAACATTCTATACTGCCCTCAGTACAGAACACCTCACAAATCTTCTCTAGACCCTTCCTGTCCAAAGAAAAACCCTAGCCCACAATTCCAGTATCTCCTGCAGCTAAGCAGCTATCTGTCCAACTCAGCATGGTGAAAGACAAAAGTTCTCCCTATCTTTAACTTCTTTTTTAAAATACAGATATTTCCTGTTTGATATAAATGCATCTGGTTGCTCCAGTTGTTTTCTTCTATTAAGCTTTGCTAATTAACCTTCACTGTGACTCTGCACTTTATCTGCACTACTGCCAATATCTTTTCCCATGGAAGTTTATTTGTGCACAAAATACACTGGTTTTGGCTTTGACATTTATTATAAACAGTCTGTAATACATCATAAAATCAGTCCATCTAAAATGAATGCTACCATTGGCTTTACAAAGGCTCACTCCCTTTTTGCAGCCCTGCAGAAATTCAGAGACCTTGAAGCTTGCTGAAAATACCAAACAAAAACAGTATTTAAGTTTTTTTACAAAAGGCAGTTCACAATATTATCCTATTTCTTGATTTATGAAAGACTTGATAATGTTTTAAACTATTTAAAGACCTGAAGCATCTCATGTTAGGATAGTTTCTATATTCAAGCCAAGGTTACATGGGTCGATCTATTATCAGCTCCCTTGGGAGGGCTGGGGGTGTTACACACCCCCATTTGAGAAAAACACAGCTGCTGCAACGAGGCACAAATTTGAATCAGACAACATAAATCTGCATTTTTCTCATTGGGTTCTACAAATCTGTTTCCCAATTGGGTCTCAATTCTTGAAAATCATACAGCAGAGTCTATCTTTCCTTTTACTTTTGGATCATGCATCTCCTCATTGTTATCTGACTGTAATTTCTAAATATATTATTTTAGTTCTAGGCATCTGGACTTCTTACAGTGCCTAAGAATAAAGCATATGTCTATGTTAAACTGCTAGAACATTCACTCTGTTTATATCATTGACTTTCTGTGTTCCTCCTGGTAACTAGAAAATCGACAAATACAAAAATACTTCCTTTTAAATGAGAAAGTGAATATATTTACCTGTCTTCAACTGTCTTGTTGGAGGGGTAGAACACCTTGAATGAAAACCCACTTCTTGGAAATGAACCCTGTAAAGAAGAAAAGGTATATACCAAGCTTGTGTAAGTAAAATACCGTACAAATAGTAAGGAGAGACACTTGAGTGTGACCTGTTTTGGTAAAACAGGAGGAGATCTTACAGGATTTATGCAAAGGCAGTCAGTGTTGGTGACCGTGAACGGGTCGTATTTGTCTGCGATGACAAGCATGTCTGGCACAGGGTACACCCGCAGGGAGTAGTCATAGGCCCAGTACACCGGGCTGACGTACAGCGGCAGCGGCGTCAGATGTCCTTGCGATAAGATAGTCTTGACAAACTGCAAGACAAACAGAAATGGTTGGAGCCATTTTCTGCAAGTCAAACTCAGTCCTGCAGGTCTCAATGGCCTACTGATAAAGAAGCTTTGAACCTGGAGATGTCTCTGTCTATCTCACTCCCTCTGATCATCAATGATTTCTAGAGTAAAGCAGCACCTCCCCTACAACAGCCAGCTGCTGTTTTGTTTGTTGTGTTGGGTTTTTTTAAAACACACAAAATCCTTTCTAAAACATATCTATATTTGAAGATGTCAAAACATTTTCACTGATCAGACTCTCCACCAAACCATAGAATCTGCTTACCTGTTCCTCCAACCCAGGAAGTACCAACGCTGCTGTAACTTTGATTTTATGGGCTGGTTTTATGGTTAATTGATCACATCTTTAAAAACACCCACGTAATTTGTATTGAACTTTGCCTTTAGGAATCAGTGTTTCTTGGTACGACATTAATTGCTGGTGCACATACACCAAAAGTTCAAGGGCACCTGCAGCGGGACAGCCAGAATGGCTCCATGCCATCAATCGGCATCATGGTTTCAGTTATTTTAATGTCAAGATGTAAATTAAAGCAATTTTACTAAATGCATAGATCGCTCTTTGAATCCTTCTTGGTTACTCTTGCAGTTCAGAACAACCTAAATGCAGATGGGCTGATTAAAAAAGAAGATGTCAGCAAGCAGTGTTGATCACGACTCACTCACATGGTTGGGGATGTCCATGTTGCTGCTTGGGAAGCGGACGCAGTTTCTGCACATTTTGTTTACCAAATCTTCACGAAAGAGAATGATTTCTTGGGTGCAGTACTGAATCCTAAGTGGGAAACGTTAATGAAATTAAATAAATTAGACAGGGAGCTGCATTGTAAATCTGATCTTCCTCTGATACAGCAAAATGAGAAAGTACATTTCAATTACAATAATACTTTCCCTTCGTTCTCTCCAGATTCAGAAAAAAACATGATACTTTTGATACTGTCAAACTATCCTTACATCAGTAATTTATGTCTTAATGGATTTAAAACTAGTTGCAATTAATGCAAGCAAAGGATTGTAATAATTCGAAAAAATTAAGACAGATTTTCTCCAAATTTGTAATTTTTGAAAATTACATCTGCATATAAATTAGTCATCCAGTAAAAAACCATGAAAAATAGCAGTAAGTTACACTGTTACCTGCAAGGATTTGTGGTGAACACTGAAAATGGCACCAGCTGTCTGAATTCCTCAGTAATATTTTCAGCCAGGGGAGGTCTAAAATAAATAGCACCAGAGCATCAAACCAAGACTCCTGCCTTCTGTAACTGCTTCACTCAAAATCCAACAACTTGAGAAAGTGAAGCAAACTGACCTTGGTAAAATAGAACCAGGACCGGGGTCTTCAGGACCAGGAACGAACACAAATCGACTACTGTAAAATATTCAACATATCCCTTTTACACAAAATGATCCTAGAATTATCTAAACACTGGTTATGCACTGCTGCTACTCCACAGATGCATGCAGATAACCTGTGCTGGGCTCTTCCTGGCCTTAAGAACCACATAAATCACAGCTAAGACGTAAGATCCATATCCATTCCTCACTAAAGTGAAATAACCCTTAAAAAGGTGGAGAGAGAGCGAGCAAGCCCATTCGAGACGCTCGTTCACAGCTCACACACTGCTCTAGAGCTGTGGCCATAAAAGGACCCATCCTACGAACTGGCGCTACTTAGGGGCCACTGTTATGAATCTGAAGATCAAAAGCCAGAAAGGATAAGCAGAGGGGTCACAAACTTCCCTTTTCCTAGCACTTTGCTGTGTACCTTTTATGAATGCTGGGATGTTCACATATTATATCTGCAAGAGCCTTCAAAGAACCTAGAGGCAGGAAGAAAAATAAATTATAATACAAGACCTGGTTAGACAATAAACACATGAATCACCCCTATACTTAAGTACTTTTAAAAATCACAGAATCACAGAATCGCTCGGT